CAAGGCTTAAAGCAGCAACAACGCTACACATAAAAACTGATGATGGTGGAAAAATACACCGAAACGTATTTTGATTGATAAATAAATGACTGAAAGCCAGGAATAAATTTGATTTGGAATTGAAACACAGTCAGGAAAGTATATAATAGGTTTATAAAGCTTGAGATAATTGTTACCTCCTCCAATGTCGCCGCCGCCTCCAAAACTGTGTCCTCCTATGTCACCTCCACTCCAGCCATGGTCTCCAAGTAAAATACCCCGTTTGTCCTGCTTTTTGCTTTCCTCCGCGACCTGTTTCACCTCCTTTTTCTCCTCCTTTTTCTCGGTCTCGGCAGCTAAAGCGCAAGCGCAGAGGCACAAAGTGCCTATAACAATCTAAAAGAAAATTGTTAAAAACCATGAAGAGAGTGAGACATACTCTATTTTCACATATACTTTGCGCTTCCATACTATGGCAATTTTTGCATAAAACTTGAATGTTTAAAGAGTTTTTGATGATGCCACAGTTGGGACATTTAAATCGGAAAACACTCATTCAACATTCTCCTTTTTGCTGCTTTAAAAAATGAAATTTCTAGTCCAATACCAATATTTAAGCATGCAAATGCAACAGAGAAAATGACTGGATTTACACATGATTTATTCAGTTAATTGACGAACTCTCGCTTTCATTGGAATTTAATTACCATGCGGATTGCAACGAGCTGTTTAGAAACTCTGTAATGGCAGCAAAAGAAATGGAACGTTTAAGCCATACGTTCGATGGGAATCACTTTCTTTTCCGGGTTGGAAATGCGTGCAACACCGTTAAGTAATAGATGGTTAATCTGAATGTCCGAACAGGTTTTGCATTTTTGTAATGGGTTTTAATAATGGGACGAGGAAGATGTTGGTTTGCATGCAATTGCACTGAGGGAAAGTGTGCATTATTTATGGGTTCAGTATGAAACGGCGCCTTTAGCACGGAAATGATAATAGTGGATAATAAAGATAGATAGAAATGCGCATCTTTTGATTGATTTAAAGTCGCTTTTACTGCGGCCAACTCGACTTTGTCTGCAGAAACTGTTTTTTTCGGGCTTTTTAGGCCGTCGTGAATTAAAATTTTCTTCTGGCGCGTGATTTCACGGTTCATCACGCCCTCAGATCCCGAAAAACACACCACTTTTATTCCAATTTTGGTTTGGCCACAAATATAGCAATTCGGTTGCGGTCAAAAAATTGGTGTTGACTTTAGCGAAGAGAAAACAGGCTTTTCAAATCATCAAAAAACAGTATTTTTGAACAGAAACGACTGAAGAAAGAAATGTGACCATTTTGATAATTTTGCTTTCGAAAAATAGTTTTTGCAGGCAATTTTTTAAACAAATTTTGACGAAATCGGTAACAAAAAGTGCAATTTTATAAACTTCTGAGCTAAAAACTGAAAAATTAGCTGATTTGGCTTACGCAGAAAATCATTTTTTGGCATTTAATTGCACATTGAATACACGCCAAACTTTATAAGTATGTAAAAAACCAGTTTACATTTAATATAATAACAAACACATGCTTTAGCCTTAAACCGCCAGAAGCATTAAATTTTCATTAATTTAGCTTGATTTCCATCTAAAACCCTTGCAAAAATTCAAATGCAAAAACAAAATTAGTTCCATTCAACTGTTACTTAAAAGGGCCGTTTGGCTAAAACCAGAAAATTGGAACTAATTCTGTTTGGAAAAAACCACCCGAATGCAACATCCACACACTGTCCACTTCACGTCCTTAGCAAGATCACTAAAAAATCACTAGAAGCCACCAACTGCCACCCTCGCGTCGATCTCACAACTTACCAGGGCTTTCATCTTAGACATACGAGCACGTGGAAGAGTTTGCACTGATCGTGATCTTCCTCCTAGTTTATATACGTACCAGAAGCACACTTTCTAGGTGCTCAAATCGTTCACCACCTCTTCGACTAAGTGCCACGGGGTTTCACTTCCACATCCGCACCGTAACGCACCATATAGATCTGCAGTAGTAGCGGCAGTTGTTTGATCGTTTTACGCAATCGGTCATTTTTTCGGTTTTTAATTAAGCAATGTAGAACTTGGACGATAGATCAAAGAATTATTTGCGACTAAAAATCTCTAGTAGAGTTGCTGTTGTAGTCTTTTAAGACTCGTTATTGTTTGAAAGGAGAAGATGGTTGGTAGCCTGTTGCATCGCATTGCCTTGATCAATGCTCCCTTGGTATTTTTGTAGTGTACTATAAGTGCAGTGTCATCAGCAGCAAAGCATCAGTGCTTTGTATATTTCGATTTAGTCTATTTTCGTGTAGGTATTTGATAAAGTGAATTAACAATTTTGTTGTTTGAATGAATAAACTTGCTGATTTTGCGGTTGTTAAGACAAAAACTCGTGTTGTCTGGCTTAAAGTCAAAACCTACGGTCCAAGCATTATGGAAAAATCATGCAATTTCAGATAAATCAGAACATGTCCATTGCTTTATCTGTTGTATCTTTTACAAGCAACAACAGCAAAGAGAATTTGCCGATCGGGAAATGATAATAAAAACTAGGCGGTTTATTAAATGATCATTCTCGGTACTTAGAAATTAGTTCCGGAACGCTTTTGCGGTCGATAAAGCCAATAGCTGGTTGTGGCCACGATAATTTTCTTCACTCCGCGCTTTAAAATGCATGCATGAAGTTGAGTGCCGCACGGGCAAGGGCGGATCCAGGGGGGG